TGGTTCCGCCACCTGCCTCACAAGCACAAGGTCCCAAGTTTGATCCCCATTCCAAAAAAAAAAAAAAGAATAAAAAATGAATGTTTACAGGGTGCCTAGCTTCAGCTATCTAAGCTATTACCAAGTTACACCTCATGAGAAGAGACAGGAAGTCTATGTAAAGACACTGACAAATGCTAGTTTCTAGTATTATTATTATCAATCACATGTTGGGCACTATAAAAAGATGAGTAAGACAAGAGTCTAGACCTGAAGGTGTGTGTGGTCGGTGAAATGAGACAGAAGAGCAGGTAATTTTAGTATAATGTGGCAAGTGCCATGACAGAATGCTTATGAGAGCCCTACAGATGAGCACTCAATCTAACACATGATTTATCCCATGCTCATTTCAAAGCTACTTTTCCTACACAGAGCCTGTTTAGGACAAACTGAATAGGGAAATGCTTTCCCCAGATAGACCTAGTTAAAATAAAAAGCAAAAAATAGCTAGTATGCATACTATCTTAATCTAGAATTTTTTTTAATTATAAAAAAAAAACTTGTTGTTGTCATGCTTCACATGTATAAGACTCTGGGTTCCATCCTCAGCCTCCAGGGGAAAAAAAAGGAAAAGAAAAAAAAAGTTCATTGTTGACCCTTAAAAAGTGAAGAGCATATTCACTCACCTCCTGTAGGGAAACTAACACATTAAAGAAACAAAATGCCTGCACTGTAACAGTGGGAAGGAGGCCATTCTGGGAAGAAAATATATCCAGTGCATTATGATTATTTCTTTTGTTTGTTTGTTTGTTTGTTTTGGTACCGGAGATCGAACTCGGGACCTTACGCTTGCGAAGCAGGCGGCGGAACCACTGAGCTAAATCCCCGGCCCGCATTATGATTATTTCTGATGACATCAGGCATTCCCTTACTGTAGCCTCCAAAATACAAAAGACAATGCCATCCATGGTTTTCTGCTTACCTGGAGAGTGTTCTGATCGATGACCTGGAAAAGGGAGTGAGGTTTGTTATCAAAAGACACAGGCCGGTGCAGAAGACTGCCACTGCCAAAAGCCAGCCACCCCGGCTCCAGCTCCTCGTTCCGGCAGTACACAAAGCCTCTGTGGGAGAAAGAGAGACACAGGAGGCATCACCGGGCTGTGTCTGTAGCCCTTCTAGAAACCATAGCACATATAAACATTTTTTAACCTAACTTTTAAACATGATTAACTGGGTATAACATCTGAAGAAGAGTGAATATACTACATTAACTTTGGGACTGAAAATGGTAAATATTAATTTTCTACAATGAACTAAGTAGGAGAAAAAGGAGGGTAAATATCTTACAAAATATATGAGTCTCTGAAAATGTGGCTTCTTTTGGCAGGAATTCATAGGCCTTATGTCCCATCTGAAAATCACTGCTAATCGAAATACTAAAATCCTTAACTAGAAAAATGTTGGTACGTCAACACAGAGAAAAGTTACTGATATTGTTAGAGAAATCTGATTACAGAGAAACTTCTGGCTGGAAACAAAGCCCTAACTCTTCAGAATCAAAACAAAGCTGAAATGCACACACAGCACAAGATGGGGGGGAGGTGGCAATAAGAAAATATTAGAATCATCTGAATTAGCTCAGACCTGTTGTTTAGTTACTATCATATAGGGAATCAGGACACAGTTCCTTCTTCACAAAAATTTACACAAGAGGAAAATGTTCCAGCCAAACCATTCAGCAAGTTTCATGCAACTGACCTGAGGGTACCATGTAATCCAGACCCCAATTTGCTTACTCCTCTTCCAACTGAGTTAGTAGTATACAGGTAAAGACCGTCTGCAGTGAGACAGCGTCCCAAGTCAGCATCTGAAATCGTTTTTTCACACGTAAATTATATATATGCTTTTTCTAATGAAATTATAAACATGCTTTTTCTAAATCAAAAAGCAATTAGGATGTTGAGCAAAAGATAATCTCCAACATCAAAGAAAAAAAAGTGCTTCAATGTGACTTTCGGGATAGATAAGTTTGAACTCCCCAAATCAAACATCCAAAAAGCATGAGGGAACAAGGAGTGAGATCAGGAAAAGAGGACAGATCATTATTAGCAAAGGAACCTGGTTCAGCCTGCAAAATATTTTCTCTTTTTCTTTTTGAAAAGCAAAAGTACTAAATAGAATTTAAATATTCCTAACACTAATCTGAAATGACCAGGAATACAACACTTTTACTAACAATTGTATAGTAAGAAAGGTATGAGCTCCTAAGAGCCTTAGGCATTCGTTAGGTGACCTTGGACTTCTCTGAACTCTTAGTTTCTTCCTGTGTAACATGGGGATAGTAATAGGTACCTTCAGGATTACTGTGATGGCTAAGCAAGATAATATACCTATATCACTCTCTGGTACCAAGCCAGTGCTCAGTAAAGGACGTGATAAATTATGTTGATATACTAATGGTATATGTGAAACTAAAGTCTTCCATGGATTTTCCACTCAGGTGTCCTAATTTTAGATCTGGAGGGAAGAGAAAGAAGGTATACTCTCTCTTCTTTTAAAAACAGCAATTATATTTCTCCTTAGCTATGTCTTCCCCAATATAAAATAAACAGCTTATAAAATAGTTAATAGTTTACTAATTTATATTCCCAAGAATTTTCCTTAAAAGAGGGGCTATGGTTAAAACTTTCAGTAATGGGCCGGGGATTTAGCTCAGTGGTTCCGGTCCCTGCCTCGCAAGTACAAGGTCCCAAGTTCGATCCCCCGTACCAAAAAAAAAAAAAACAATTTTCAGTATTGATTAGAATCACTCCATTCCAGGGGAGTTCTTCTACCCAAAGAATGTCATTTTAGTTTGAGGAAATTTAGTGTCACATCACTCAAATGAGTACTAAGTCTGCTAAGAATTCAATCTATTAATCTGAGATGACTTGGACTTACACCTATCAATTTCTCAAAAAACAAAACAAAATCAGATTCTGTTAAAGTGGGTTTTAAAAAATATGAACTTCATACCTTAAACATTTTAACTTGAAATATATAAATCACTTCTATTCATTTTTCTTTTTCGTTTTGTATGGTGGCTTGAACCCAGGGCCTTTGCCCTGAGCTACATCTCCAACGTGTTTTTAGTTTTTATTTTCAGACAGGGACTTCGTAAGTCAATAGCTTGCCAAGGTTGAATTTGAACTTGCAATCCTACCTTAGCACAGAATGCTGGGATTACAGGATGCGTCACCAGCTCACCCATCTTTAGATTATGGCCCAACAAGAGTGTGTGGGTCCAACAAGAGGGGTAGTGAAAGGGACAGACTAAACAAGACCGGCCAGGGGCTGATACTTTATTAAAGTCAAGTGAAGAGTACACAAGGTTTCTCATTCTTTTTTTTTTTTTTTTTTTGGTACCAGGGATTGAACTCAGGACCTTGTGCTTGCAAGGCAGGCAGTAGAACCACTGAGCTAAAGCCCCAGCCCTCACAACATTTATGATAGTGTTCTCTCAACTTCTGACAATATTTAATATTTCAATGCTAAAGGTTAAATAGAATTATTCTAACTCACGAAACTGAGCCAAGAAGATTCCTTGCCCAGGAGTTTGAAGCCTGCAGTTTGGGGCAAGACCTGGACTCAAAAATAAATTATAAAAATCATTCTAAAAATTACTGTAAGAAAAATATTCTCATGGGGAGAATTCACATTTGCTAAACGATAATAAAATGGATTAAAACTTTTAAAAAAAGAATATTCTTTTAGATACAAAAACAAAGGTATAAAAGTGAAAAGTAAACAGATCAGCTTAATACCATCATCTCTAATAAGAAACTACTCCCTAGGCCGGGGATTTAGCTCAGTGGTTTTACCGCCTGCTGCAAAAGGACCAGAATTCGATCCCTGGTAACAACAACAAAAAAAGAAACTACCCCCAGAGAGATGTCAAATGTTATGAAGGGGGAGAAAGGGCTTTGGTTCTATACAGTGAAGCAGGCTGCAGCCCATAGTATCTGAGGACTTCCTGGCTACTTCAGGCTTTAGCTCCACCTGTTAAATCTGGCTGAGTCAGAGAAGGTCATGAATCATATCCAGAGCCTCACTCCTCCTCTCAGCACTCTCTGGAAGAAAGGCTGGACTGTGGAAAGGCTCAGGCGCTGGGCAGGATGGAAAGGTGGCCTGTTGCTCAGGCTGCACCCTATTCCCTTAGGGCTGCCCAGGAAGGTGGCCCCATGCAGGATGGGAAGTGAAACAGTGTAGAACCAGTTGTCAACCTCACACCCTATGAGCACCAATTTCTTCCAGACTCACTTATTGAGTCTTTCTACAATAAACAACTTTTTTAATGGAAACAGTCCCCTGGGATTTTGTTCCCCTGTTGTTCCTACTTCATCAGTTACATAATAATGATATAATAACAATATAATATTATTATAATAATTAATGATATTTAAAGGACCAATTACAATAACAAACTGGTTGGGGAGTAAGCCAGCAGCTGCACTGCAGGCCAACAGTGCACAAACACATTGGGCAGATCTGCCAGCTGTGGGTTTGGATGGTGCTGGCAATAGACAATAAAGTTTGTGGAACAAATGGAGAGGGCTAATTCGCCTGGCAAGTCAATTAAGTGGAGGAGGTCACTTAAGAGATCTGCCACTTGTGCTGGGATAATGAATAAACTGACTTGAATCCTATGAAACTGCATACAAACATTTCAATGCAGCCTACTTTTAAAAAGAGTAACTTAGCAATTCACGCTCTCTTGAAAGGTAAACATCGGAACCACTGAGCTAAATCCCTGGCCCCACGCTCTCTTGAATCTTCTCATTTCTTGCTTTCAGGACAGGAGGGTTAATTATTATTAGGACACACAATAAATTACTAAAAGAAATAGTATCGTGTAGTAAGACATAATACTCTATTAGCCAACCAAAAATTGCAACTGAAGGCATGCCCAAACTCAAATACTGAGGAACCAATTTAAGAAATCTAAACCTCCTTGGCAAAAGTATATGATGATCTCTTTTCCTTGCAAAAGTAAAACCTATCCATTTTCTTACCTCACTGAGTATCAGTTTTATACTGATAAAGAAGACAATGAATACACTGTATAGGAACCTTCAACTCTTAATTAAAAAGAACACACAGAGTTATATCTAGAGCATTTGCCAAAATGATCTAAAGCCATTCTTTTTATGTCTTAATCACAGGACAAAAACTCCAACATTACCTTTATTTTCAGAACTGGAGCCAGTGTTGCTGTCCGGCGCAGGTAACATGTCTTCATACCCCCAAGATACTATGTGTTTGCCCCCGAGCAAACAGGAAGGGGATCCAGGCCCCCCTTCCAGAAGCAATAACCTGTAAGAGGGAGAGGGAGAATTGTAAAGGCAATGAGACTGTCCATTTCAGCAAGAAAATAGAGGCCTATCCACCAACTCAAAGAGCAGACACTAAAATAGTCTTAACAAATATACATCTGAAAAAGCTATTCATAATGTATTTTACATGAAAAATAATTACAAAGCAGTGCTTATAGAAATAGCATAATAAAATTTTATCTGTGTGAAACATGTATTTTTTACATATACACAAGTGTGAGAGACAGAAAGACAGGCAGAGATGCAGAAAGGGGCATGAATTAGGAAACACACCAAAATGTTAGGAGTGCTATCTTTGAGTAGTGAGATTATGAATGATTTTTAACTTTCTTCTCTATACTTTAATACATTATCATCTCAAATTTACAATAAGAATTCATTATAAGTTATTACATTTTAAAGATACAAAAATAAAAAAGAATAAGAAATAATATGCTCTTGGGGCGGGGATTTAGCTCAGTGGTTCCGCTGCCTACCTCGCAAGTGCAAGGTCTGGAGTTCAATCCCTGGTACCAAAAAAAAAAAAAATGTTTCTAGAGCATATTCTTTCTTTCTTTCTTTCTTTTTTTTAAAAGTGTTTCTAGACCATATTATTTTCTTTTTTTTTTTAAAGTGTTTCTAGAGCAAATTATTTCTTTTTTTATTTTTTGGTAACAGGGATTGAACTCCGGACCTTGAGCTTTTGAGGCAGGCAGCGGAACCATTGAGCTAAATCCCCGGCCCTTGAAACACTTTCAAAGAAGGGAAGGTAAGACAAAATTTTACTGAAGAAGTTAACTATGATTCTATATTTATTGAAAAATATGAATCATTAATTGATTACAGTGTAGCAATATACTTACAATAAGAAGCTTTATGCACAAATTTGCCTTGTTTGGAAGGGGGATAAAGATCTAAACTGACAAGTGGCAACTTACCTATACAGCACGTCGGCAACCGGCAGGGACCCTAGATCAGTCTGTTTCTGTAATAGGTGGACTGTGTGGACAAAAGTTTTCAATGATCCCCTAAAAATAAAAAGGAACAGAAAATCACCAAAATTCAAAGTCAAATAATTTAGGTAGCTAACGTTAATTTTATGAACCACACGAGAAGGTTCTATAATGTGCCTGTTTGCTTCTGCTGATCAGAAGTATACTGATTCTCACCACTGGCTCATACAAAGCATTACTATGAGAGCGGCAACATGCCAGTCGTGAAGATGTGCTCCTTATACTGAAAAGGTAAGCAATCTCCCCCATCACAAAAGTTCAAAACAAGGCTCAAGCACAAGGAATTTGTGCCTATTATACTTGGATACTTTTTCATCACCATGTCAGCCTCTAGTCTACAGGAGAGATTTCTTCGGAAAAGGTTACAGTATATCTAAAGTCCAAAATAATTCCAGGCAGGCTTTTTTCAATATCTTTGTTAAGTTATCCATTCTGCATAATACCCCATTGAATTCTATCACATTCACCCTGACTAAAAGGAATATGTTTAAGTAATTAATATTTTGTACCACACTGTTTCTTCTGCATTTCCCTACTGTAAAGCATAGAGTGATTATACTTGCAGGACCTATTATGAGAGATTTTCTTTTGGTTCCTAAGTCTTGAGGTTCCTCAAGTCTGTAATTAGGTCAGCAGGATCTAAAAGAAGGTGCTTTTAAGATGCACAAGACTTACCTGGCCACATCCCAAGTATAAATCACAAGAACACTTCCCGAACAAAATGATCACCTGTATCAGATGGGCTGACCAGCTGGGCACCTTATTCTTTTAGCCATGGTTTTCATTGCCAAGTATCATATACCTAAAGCACAACAGAAATGGAATACCTAATGCTAGAGCAAGTTGCCCTAGAGGCTTCCTCTTAATTGCTCCTTTCACTATCTCTAGTGCTCAAAGAACAAAACAGAAGAATCGTATAAGGCAGGAAGGCTGCACAATATAAAAGCACCTGTTGCGAGCCAGGATATGTGGGCTCTGAAACCTGGCACTGGCACTCACAGCTGCACAATCTCATCCTGTCATCTAACTCCTATGGACTTTTGCTTCTTCATCTCTCTAGCAGGAATACCTCCCTGGGGAGGAGGGAGATTCAAATAAAGGGGCAAAAGCACCAACATTTAGAAAATTTAGAACAATTAACCATTTATAATGAATTATGTCCTGCCAGGTTCAATTAGATTTTAAGAGTAAAATTTCAACTCTTCCGTGGCTCACAAGCCTCTACCATCATCCGTGCCATGGCGACTTCATCTCCTGTCCCTTTTCTTTTACCATTATGGTCTAGCAGCCCTGCCCTCTTTGCCATCTGTCCCTTAGCTACTGCAGGCACAGAAAGACCATCATGGTCTTGCACCTGCTACCTGCTGCCATGGAACTGTCTGCCACTGGCTCTTCAACATGGCTAGCTCTTTCTCATCACCCAGTCCTCAGTTCAAATGCCACATCTCTAGTAAGGCCTTCGCTGGTATCTCCAACTAATGCTGCCCTCAGCTGCTTAGTCATTCTCTATCAAAACATCCCACGTTTGCTGGGTGTGGTGGCACACATCTGTAATCTCAGTACTTGGGAGGCTGAGGCAAGAGGATCACCGTGAATTCAAGGCCAGCTTGGGATACATAGTGAGTTCAAGGCCAGCCTGAACTGGCCTTGAGACTCTGTCTCAAAAAAACAAAACAAAAAAATTACACTTTCTTTTCATATAGAGTCTATCTCTCTATGAAACTATCTTTTATATTTACTTGTGGCTCATTGTCTACCCACTTCACTCTCAGGTAAATTTTATAATTTTAGGGACCATCTGCCTTCTCACTGCTATATCCCTGCCACCCAGAAGAGTACCTCATACAGGGTAAGTGAGTAAAAAGCTTTTCCAGAATGAATCACCCTGAATCCACTCAATTATTAGCGTTATAAGATTAGAGATCTTAAATCACTTTATGCCTAAAACATAGCAAAGTTCCTGTATATCAGAGATGTTAGACAAATGTTCATTGGTTGAATAAATATCTACATAATAGCCTTTTGGAAAAGTTGTTTTGTCTTTGACAACATTAGCTTCAAAAGTTCAGCAATGGGGCCAGGGATGTGCTGCGCCTGCCTGTTAAGTGCAACGTCCTAAGTTCGATTCCTGGTGCCAAAAAAAAAGTTCAGCAATGACCTTGGATTCCCATTAAAATCGATGATCTAACACTGAAAAGCAGGTGACTTGTGAGTAAGTAAAGCCCAGGAGAAGATGCTAATATTAACAACAGAGTGCAGGAACCACAACAACAAAAAAGAAGAAAGCAAAACATTCATTTCACATTTCTGTTGAATGGAATTTAGAATATACAAAGCAATTTCTATAAGTATTTTGGATATAGTTTGAATTGGTTACATAATAAAAAAGTGACCTTTATGATCCAACATTTAATAACAAATTGTTTGAAACTAATGAATTGATTATTATTCCCAACATCCTAAATTTTCTAAGGATAGTACCACCTAAAGGCAATTTTTCTCAAAATGGGATTTCACATTGATAACAAATCTATTTAGGACTTAAATTTTCTTTTGCAGATGCAGAAAAAACCTAAAGGCATTACAGGGAAACCTATTTCAATAACACCTGATGTCTCCACATTAAGCACATGTCAAGATTTCCACAATCAACTACAGTCTTCAGGGATCCAAAACTAAGCTATGACAGTTTGCTCAGGGCAAAGAAACTGACAATGAATATTAGTGCTATTTTATCTTTAAAATAACTTGAGCTTCAAGCAATTGAAGGTCACCTTTGAAACCATAAAGAGAAACCCAGAAGGAAAATCCTTAAAGCTAACAATTTCGGAACCCTTCAAGAAAAATTTTCCCACAAATGCTTGCCTTAAAAAGATCTCAATAACAACAGCAACAAAATTCTGAAGAAGAGGAAGAGACTATCTGTCAGACCAAGGTCCTAACTGGTCTCTAGAAAATCAGCTTAGAGGGAAGCTAGGGTAGTGAATTTCCTTCTCAGATATATATCAGTATTATATAGGTTGCTGAGAAGGAATGAGTCCTCTCTGGGTAAAGCAATTCCAAGTACCTTTCCTACTGACAGTGGATCAGTGACACGAAGGTGCACATAAAGGACAGTACACTATTAAATCTTGATATATACTGTGAGATCTTTCAATTAAATTGATGAAGGCAAGCACTGGGGTCCAGAAATATAATTTGTTACTCACTCTTGTGAAGGAGTCTAGGGGAGAAATAACCCACTGATGCACTCCTTATAGTTAGGTGTGAAAAAAAGTAAAAGCTCTACAAAATTTCTAACCATCCTCCCAGAAATACAAACAACATCCTCTGTGAACGACCTGAGATACAACATTAGCAATCAAAGAGGTGAACAGAGATGGCAAGGGTTGACTCTCCACCCTACGCTGTTATCACGGTCTAGCAGAAAGAGAAAATTTGAACATTAGTTCTACCCCAGGCACCTGGTGCCAAGTTTTGGCAAAAGCACCATATACACTGTCAAGGCTATGAAATTCAATACTGAAAGCAAAGAAGGACTTCTGAATGTTAAGACTTCTATCAAATACAGGGTGGGGGATTTAGCTCAGTGATTCCGCAGCCTGCCTCACAAGTGCAAGGTCCCGAGTTCAATCCCCAGTACCAAAAAAAAACCTTCTCAAATACAGTAGGTCTCTTCTTCACTCAACCAACTCAGGTGCAGCAGTCAGTCACAAGGTCATCAAGTGGTACAACTGATTTTCCTTACCTGGCACACGCCAATGCCACCAGAGCAGCAGCAGCATTTTCTTTTTGCTTATGTGGGATTTGTCGGCCTGTGTCCGAAGTCTCCTCTAGCCAAGAGCACAGCAAAGTTTCAATTCCGTTGAGACAGTCACCAGGTTCCTTGGTCAAACTCAAAGGCTGGCAGTCTCGAAGGCAGTTCAATAGCACCTCAGCAGTTATGTTACAGAGAGAGGGGTCTGTTCGACTCTGGGACTGAATAAGGGGGAAGACCAGTAGAAGCCCCATCCGTGATGTGAAGGGTGCTTGCTCGGGTTGCTGCAACAAGCCCTGGCGCTTGAGCAGGGCCAAAGTTTCTTCATCACCCGAACTTTCCCTTTCATGCTGCTCTTCCAAGGCCAGCTGGCGCTGGGCATTCCACAGTCCTCGCAAGGCATTCAGGCGGTATTCCAGCAGACGGGCATAGGCATTGCTCTGATTCCCACAGACAGCGCGTAAACGTTCTGCTAGTTCCGTTGGATTCTTGGTCTCAAATGTTAAAATCTAAAGACAATGACAATGGAGAAATGGTTATATATTCCCTTTGCCAAAGTCATCTATGGAAGCCAATATGTCTAACAGTATCTAAAAATAGTTCATACCAAAAATTGTTTTAATTGCAACCAAATAGAAAATGTACTGTAAACCCAGCTTTTCTGCTAATGCTCCTATTAAAATTGGGATTAGAAGGGCTAGAAATCAGCTTAGCATGAGAAGCCCTAGGTTTACTCTATAGCACTAAATAAATAAATAAATGGCGTTAGACCTAATTGAAAGAACCCAAATCTTAACTTGGAAGTCAGAAATCAATCCAAGTAATTTATTTTTTAAAAATCAAACTATAAATATTAAATGATCTTGAGATATAAATATTAACTTGCTAACTCTGATTACGAGGTGAACCATCAGTGAAAACAGAACTGCTTTACCTTTAGTCTTCAAAACATAATATAACAACTAATAAATGATGGATTGTTTATTGTTCTTCAATCTGTTTGTTTGGTTTGTTAGTTTTTTTGAGACAGTCTCACTATGTAGCCCAGGCTGGCCTTGGACTTGCAGCTATTCTCCTGTCTCAGCCTCCCGAGTGCAGAGATTTACGGGCGTGTGCCATCACATCCAGCTTTGTTCTTTGATTTTTGAAGCACCCCCCACTGTCATTATTGTTAACCCATTGCTTCAGTTTATGACACAGTATGGATTTATGCACAAACTCTTTGCATTGTAAAGTTAGTTTCATTCTTTATCTTAAGGGCTGGCCCCTTTCTCTTTTTTTTGGTACGGGAATCGAACTCGGGACCTTGTGCTTGCAAGGCAGGCGAATTGAGAGAGGATTTAATGATTTTTTTATCTCCCAGCTACTGAAAATCCAGAGGAAGCCTCCAGATAATTATATGTTTTGGCAAGAAAACAATGGTGATTCCTATACATATAAGAACTGCATAAATCTTCCACCCAGTACAACTCTTTGATATGAAATACGTATGTGCTCCACATACATTTTTACTTATGGTACACTATCATCTACTATTACTCTCTGAAGCAACTACTAAAAATTTCAATATAGGCTTTTATTGAACTCAGGAATTGAAGAGTAACTCAGTAACATTAAACCCAGCCATTTATTTTTATTATTAATCTCCAACATAAGTGCTTCTGTGATATATTTCATGGTACATAAAATGATGTGTATGAAAGAATCTGTAGCTAATTTAAAATGTTATGATTAGCTAATACAAATATATACTATACATTTGTCTGAATATTCTTTTTTTACAAGTACTTCAGTCATATTCTTAGCATTTTACTTGGAAGATAAATATTCTAAAGGATTTGAGTTATAATGTAATTAACCAAATATTACATAATATACACACTTAAATGACCGTTATGTTTATTGATTTAGCAATATCTAAAGCACACTATGCTTCTAGAAATCCATTAGACTACTCATCTTTATCTACTTCAGTGGTCCTTTATGCTTTTTCAAATTCCGAAGTTTGAAGGTCATGGCCTAAAGTCACTTTATAAAGACATCATACTTTTGGTTTTAGTAAGTCAGCTGTGGAGGATCTATTCTGGTACTTATAAATATTGAATGACTTGTCTCAGATCCTTCTATAAAACCACTGCTCTCAATAACTGCTCCTGACCAAAATGTCATTAGAAAATTAATATTTTTCTCTTTGAAAAAGGGGGAAGCTATTTAAAGAAAGAGGAAGATCCCTGTCATCCTTAATCAGAAAGGACACTAACTGTACATTAGTGATAAATGTTGAAGTCACCCCAAATAAGGGAGTGACTTCCCAAGTAACTCACAGCCTTTTTTATCATACATAACACATGTTTTTCAGCTAAGACAACAGTCATTCTGGAAAGTCTATTAAGGTAGGCAAAATATTCTTTGCTGGCCAAATCTGCCTTTGGCCAATATTCCAATAGTTGATATAGTAACAGTCACAAAAGATCAGATCATTTTAGAAAACTTCCATCCATTTTCTATCAGGGAAAACACAGAGCATAAACCAGTAGTTTGATGTGAAACCTGAAATACCAACCTGTAGTACAAGTTAACATGGGCGTGAGGATGAGCATATATGTAGAGGCTTTTGAGGTGGTAGAAAATATGCATAAAGATATTAACAAATCATTAGCAAAAAATTCAGGACCTAAGATCTGGGCATGAACTGCATAATCCGCTAAATGTAATTATCAATTTCCATCTATTTTACTATTTAGAATAGCAGAGAGGCAATACTCTAAAAGGATCAAAGAACCTAAAATCACCCTTTCTTATATTACAGCATACTTATAAATAAAACAGAAATTTTAAAAATCAACTCTTTTTAAACTGATACATAAAAACATAAAAATTATACACATTAATAGGATACTATGTGATATTTTGACACATGTATATACTGTATAATGTTTATATCAAGGAGAAAGTAATTATAAGAATTTGTCCTAAAGAAATATTCTAGAAACGCTGGGGATTTAGCTCAGTGGTTCCAGTGCCTGGCGCACAAGCGCAAGGTCCCGAGTTCGATCCCCGGTACCAAAAAAAAGATATTCTAAAAATAAGAAATGCAGAGATATTCACTGCAGTCTTCTTTATAACAATGAGAAAAAAAAAAAAAAAAAAGCACACCAGGTGTGCTGATGCATAGGTGTAATCTCAGCACTCCACAAGCTGAGGACCCTCACAAATGTGAGGCAAGTCTGGGCTAATCATGAGTTCAAGGCCAGTCTGAACTTCATAGCAAGCTTCTATCTCAAAAAATAAAAACAAAAAGTAGAAGCAATCTCAGCATCCAAAAGGAAATTTTTAATTAAATTATACCATATCAAAATAAAATGTTATAAAATAACTAAAAATAATTATGCCAGCAAGGCATGGTGCCATACGCCTGTAGTCCCAGCTACTCAGGAGGTTAAGGCAGGAAATTGCTTGACCCTAAGTATTTGGGGCCAGTCTGGGCAACATAATCAATCATACCACACAACAGAAAGTGGCATAAAAATAGTATGTAATTAGGACTCAGTGATACTTGCTTCTTCAATTTTAAAATTTCATTAGTTAGTATATGTGGTAATAGAAACATGGGTGTGGGGTTGGGGATTTAGCTCAGTGGCGCCACGCCTGCCTCACAAGCTTAAGATCCTGAGTTTGATCCCTGGTACCAAAAAAAAAGGTGATGACAAGTTAAATTGTTTATATATAAGACAGTCATAACTAGACCTGATATTTTTTACAAATAAATGCTACTTTGAAATCACTGGTAGCCAAACAAATGATGACACAATTGATATATTTAATATTCAGGGAACATATCTGACAAAGAATAATCACAACTACCATAGAAACTGCATTCCCTAACTCCCATCTGTTGTGCTTTGGCAACAGTTTACCTCAAATAAATGTAGGGCTGATTATCCTCTTGGTTAGGACCAAAGACGGGCAGTGGGATGGGAAGAACCACCACAGATATTAGCAACTATCAATAAACATTAAAATTTTTCTCCAAAAAGAAATGATGCTTTAAAATGATGTTTAAAACTTAAGTGCAAATGAGATGAATTAATTACTGTACGATGTTCTCCTAGTATGGTACATTAATTCATTACATGAATCTGTCAGCATCAAAGGAATTCATACTTGGATTATTTCAAGATCAACTGACCAGACCTGCAACCTAAATACAAAACTTTTAAGAAGGCAGAATATAGTGGTACCTTGGTTCACACACTGAATTCTTTCTATGACGCTGGTCACAAACAAAATTGGACAAGAACTGAATCAAATTCAATGGTTAGATTCAATGTTGACCTTATGGGTAAATTTGATTCAGTTCTCATTCAATTCAATCCGTGATCAGAAATGTGGAAAGAAGTAAATTCATTAACTGAGGTATCACTGTATTGAAACCCTCACAAATGTTAGCATGGATTCTTAAACCCTTTCATAAAGTTTTCTACCATTATTCACACTATGACAATGGTAATCACGGCCAAATCGAATTGTATATGACAATTCAAAGGAGACCAGAAAGATCTCACTTGTGAACCAAATGAATGAATCATGAATGGAAGGTTAGAATTCCATCTCTAATAGTGAAGACTGACTGAATCAAGAGTGGATCACTTGGGCCAGGGATTTAGCTCAGTAGCACTGCGCCTGCCTTGCAAGCGAAAGGTCCTGAGTTCGATCCCCAGTACCAAAAAAAAAAAAGTGGATCACTTATCAATTAAATTAGACCCAGAAGCTGCATAACCTTATCCAGTCTTGGAAATATATTTTCACTCAAATTTATTTCCAATACCTACTATTTTTAAAAGGGGGTCTTTAACCTAAGTAATAATCAGGATACTAACTTCCACACTTTAATTCATGAGTTTTAGCTTCTAGATGCTAAAATTGGAATGGAGCCTGAATTATTTCTAGATTGTTTTGTGGTTTTGTTTTTTTTTTTGGTACCGGGGATTGAACTCGGGACCTTGCACTTGTGAGGCAGGTGCCAGAACCACTGAGCTAAATCCCAGGCCCTATTTCTAGACTGTTACGGTTTGGCTAAGCCTTGTAAAATTTTCTCCAGTACCTGATGATTTTCCCAGACCTTCACACAACTGCTGCTGATAGCAGGATCGTTAGAACTATAAGAACTTTGACACTCAAGAAATTCGTGTTCAAATTATTGTTGCGTGAAAGTTCAATGCAGTCCTGGCCACCATTCAGTTTTCATTTTTGTCATGCACCCTTGATGAAAGTCCTATTTTTCCATCTCTCTGCTATTTTTGCCTGAATCTGCCCCACTCAATCTAAATCCTATCTCTCAAAATTCAGCTCTGCTCCATTAATACCTACTTTGAGAAACTCTAATTTCCTTTTCTCTTCCTCTCTCCCTCCCCTTACTCCATGATTCCATAAAATTCTATACATACCTCTATCAGAGGGGCAGTACAAACTACATGGGAAAATGTTTTAGCAATGAAAACAAGACTAT